TGGCGCCGGTTCCGGGGCGGGGGTGGGGGCGAACCGTCCTGCAGGTGAGGGGGCGGCAGAGCTGTCCAGCTCCCGGGCCCAGCCGGCTCCAGTGCCTGGCGTGTGTGCTTGTGCGTGCGTGCATGCGTGCGCCTTATTTTTAGTTAGGATTTGGAGAACCACGTTTGGTTATTTAAAAAAAAAATTTTTTTTTTTAAATTTTGCTGTTTTAAAATTGACTTGTTGGGGAATGGAAGCGCCGTTTAATCTTTCCTGCAACTACTTCCCTCCCCATCCTCGTGCATCTCTAGATTCCTCCTTCTTTTCCTGTCATCCCCTCTTCCCCAACCCTGCCAATTGCCTGCCTCATTGCTCCAGTTCTCCCTCACGCTGGACCAGTCTGTGCTGATGAGCTTGCAAGGTCACTGCCTGGGGAGGGGGAGGAGGGGAGGAGAGTCTCCTGTTGTGCTCACGTCAGCAGAGATGTCATATCGTTCTCCGGTTCCTGTGGTTTTACTATGAGATCCTGCCCAAAACGAGAGACGAATCCAAAGGGTATGTTAACATGGCCACTGTAGGCTGAAAAGGCCTGTGAATTCTAAATCTGCGTCTGGAGTGGATGGTGATGTAAGACTTCAGATAGGTATGCATTTTGAGTTTGATGCCTTTGAAATATATGAAGATAGGAACCAGGGGCTCCCTGTTAGTAAATATGGTTGAGGCAGAGTCTGAGCCTGGTTGGTTATGAAGACAGAGTGTGAGTATAGGTGGTGTGAGAGGATTTAGAGTCTTTGTGGGGAAAGAGAGGAGAGAATTGAGAAGAAAAGCCTTGGTTATCTCTGTAATCTCAATAACTGAAGACAGTGGCTATTGATGAGATATTGTGACTAAAAACCTATCCTATCACTCGTTAGCTAGGATATTCACAAGATCTCAGTGTTCTTGTGGCTTTGGAAAGAGATGAGGACTGTACAGCATGCTAATGATTTGAGATTTATCAAATAGTTCTCCGTGGAAAGGGGCTGGGATCCTTCTAAGGCTAGAGAGGACCAAAGCCTATTATATTAGATGTTTCAGGCCTGATCTTTGAAATTTTGGCTATAAAGGGCTCCTGGTTTTCTATGTAAACAAACCATAGATTTCAAGGCTTAGCTTAGAACTCTGGTCCTGTAAATTCTGTTTTCCTTTAAGATTTAAGAGTTAGAGCTCAGCTCTGTAATAGTGTACCACCTTCCACCGTATGTTCATGATTCTGTAGTGGTTGGGAGAACCAAAAGACTGGGTTCATTAAGCGGTGCTGATGCCTAGAAATGAGTATATGGACGCTCAGGAACTTGGGGTAAGGAGATATTTCTATTAAAAGCCAAAATTAGGACAAATTGCAAACTAAAGACAGATGGGGGAAGAAGATAACCTAATTCTTAGCAGGTGCTGTCAGTGGGAGGAAGATGGTGTCCCCAGGTTCAAGGAGAGTGAATTGTTATGGACCCTGGCTGACTCTGGAGTAGCAGCTGCTAGCACTGTGTGGTCACCAATCAGGGGGAGGGGCTGTGGCTCTGCTATAAATAGTGCTGGGAGCCAGAGTCGCTATGGAGACAAACTGAATCCTATTATCTGCAGGTCCTCTATTGGGAGCTAGGGAAAAGAGAGAGCAGTATTTTGAGGATCTGAGAGGTGTTACAAATAGGTCTTGTTTATTATAAAGTAGGAGAGAAAGAAGATAGAACTTCTCATTACCTAAACCAAATGGGGCCTTAAGCATACAGTGAGTGTGCACGTCTATATGGAAGTGCATGCAGCAGCAGATGAGGGAGTGGTGTGTGTGTCTATAGTGTAATGGTGTTCTCTGTGTATACAGTGAACAAGGTCTTAGTGTGGCCAAATGCAGAGTGCAGAGGTAGAATCCTGAGTATTGGAAGTAACCCTGTGGTGGAGTGAAACATTTTATTTAAAAAAGTGTATGGGGACCCAACAGGAAATAAATTATAATTAAGATCATGTAAGCTTTTCCTAATTTTAGAACTGCAGTTTAGAAATTCCTCTGAGCACTTCTCCCTGTCCTTGTGGAAATCCTAGTATTTCTGAGTCAAATTCATAATTTCTGTAATATGTAGTAGGACAAGGCCTCATCTGTGTGTTCATAGTCCTGATTCCGATCCTGAGACCAGAACAGAGGAGAAAGACTATGATTCAGCACCAAGGGCAGAGCTAGTAGTAGTAGCCATTGAACTACTAGAAGGGGGAGAAAAGTGGTTCAGATGAGGCAGTTGGAGCATGGGCATTCTTCACTTGAGATCACATGAGGTGGAATAGCCAGCTGTTGTTATTGTCTGAGTGCAGTTAACTAGACAGTCTATATGGTAGTTTCACATCAAGCTGAATGCAGATTGTTGAAACAGAATAATTAGGTTTCCATCTAGACCTAGAAGTGCAGATTAGTGCTGGTCGAAGAGTCTCGTTTGATGCTGATCTACCCTGGAGTGGTCCTGAAAGTGAATTAATTTTTATCATCATAATGACTTGAGTCCAGATTGGACCGCCTAGGTTTGTTATTTAGAAACAGAGCCCTAGGGGTGAGGCTGGAAAGAGGATGAGGAAGTGAGCCATCATTATTTGTCCTACTTCTTGACATTTGACTCTGTGAGCTCATAAGCCTGTGCACTAGGGTAGGCAAGTGTCAAGTTCTCCTATCTATAGCACTAAAGTGGAAGACCTTCTAACCTGTGCCCCTGGCTGGGATGAAGTTGAGAGGGATGACTTATCAGTCCTTTTTTCCTGTTAGACTTGGATTTTCAGATAATATCAGAATTCCTTCTGGGAACACTGACTCCTCGTTCGGTGCTCTGAAGATTCTCTGAGATGAACTGATGACTTGGAACCATGGTGCAAAAGAAGAAGTTCTGTCCTCGGTTACTTGACTATTTAGTGATCGTAGGGGCCAGGTAACCAAAAAGAGACTTATTTTTGTCTTGTCATCTGGGATGGCCACAAAATCTGCAGTTATTCCCCTTCCCTATTTCCATGTTGCTTTGCTTTGCATATCTCATTCTTCTCCTGTTGTTTTACCCTGGTGGGAGCATTGGTGCCAGGAGAGAAAACAACACTGTCAGGTGGATTAAGAGTATTGGTCTGGACAGAGACAGCAAAACTCTGCTGTTAACTGCATCTTTGTGATCTTGAGCAAATATACTCTTTATACCCTTTTCTTATTTTGTAAAAAGGAGAAGTACCTTGTGCTCCTTCTCTACCTATATGTGCTCTTTTGCTAATACGTCAGCTAAATCACCTTGAAAGGTGCTAATCATCTTAAGGTATTAGTGATCTCTTTTTCTTTTTTTTTAAAGATGACCAGTAAGGGGATCTTAACCCTTTACTTGGTGTTGTCAGCACCAGGCTCTCCCAAGTGAGCCAACTGGCCATCCCAATATAGGGATCCAAACCCATGGCCTTGGTGTTATCAGCACCACACTCTCCCAAGAGAGCCACGGGCCAGCCCTATTAGTGATCATTTTTAAAAAAAAATTTTGTTTGTTTTTTGGTGGCTGGCTGATAAGGGGTTAGTGACAATTTTATTGTCGAAATTTTCCTTTCATTTCAGGATAGGTGTCTTCATGACAGTGCACATTTCATTTAGCCCACCAGCTAAGCGTGGCAAGAAGTACCCATATTTTCTAAGGTTGTACTAGGTTACTTTTTCCAAGATAACGTTTTGAACTCTGTTGACTGCGATTAAAATTTGATAGTGTTCTGTCCCTTCAGGCTGCTAAATTTGTCTTCATGTTCTTTAGGCACCCGAGCAGTGATAGTGTTGCC